AGGTCCTGCCATTCCCAAAGGCATTGGTTTCTACTTTATCCCCAGGTTTCCATACAGTCATTTCCTCTCTCCCACGTTTCCGTCCTGTTTTTACTCTTTCTGCTGAAGACATTGACTGGGAAACAATAACAGCTTAATTTATTATATGATTCAAATTCTGGGACGACGATTCTTGGTGTCTTGAGCTCAAAACACGTGGTTAACCTACGTTGAACAGTGTACAAAATAAATTCTAAAAACAAGTAATATCAGACGAGTATCAAATCTACCAAAAGCTGAAAGGGTAGTAAACTACTAAACCAATACAAGTTCAAAAAACTGGTGATCATACACGTATATAGACCGACACAAAACAATCACTGCAATCCAGAACTACCCCGTACTGCTGGCAAGCACAAATAAGAAGCAATTCACGGATGAGTATAGCCCTCAGTCAAACACACTATTGAGATCATTGAGATAATACACCGACGTTTTCCAAAACGAAAGTACCAACAATAAAATCTAGCACACTCCTGCTCTTCAAATAATTTGCGATAATCATTAACTTGATAACGGATTTAACTGTCAGTTCAATGTATCAATTTACACACATTCTATGGTGATGATATATTATGTGAGAAAAATTAGTAATAATTGTACAAAACATAACGGTATATCTGTATGTTTGACTTATAAAATACAAAGAATAGGGATTGAAACTGGTATATCATCAGATGTACCATTTATCAATTGTAAATTCAGCGGTAACAAAGTTGTGAAATTTGGTATATCAGCAGATATACCGATTTCATGAAATTCGAATGCTCATCAAATCTCACTAAAATGGTATATCTTCAGATATACCAATTTCACGGATAAGCTTAGTGAAATGATTTGGTATATGAGCTGTTGTACCAATTTACCATAAAAATTTAAACTATTTTCGACACATGAAATTGTCGTAGAATAAAGAAACCTAGCTCAAGCGATGCAGAATTTGATGCTGATCACCGTGGTATAATTTTCTTAAAAATGGTATATGTGCTGATATACCAATATAGAATGTGGTCCCACATATATACCAAGGCCACTACCTTTCTTTTTCCCATCAGTTTTAGAGTTGTACTCACTGCTGTAACCATCAATTTTGTATAGATCTTTATTTTCCTCATTAATGTTTGTTTCAGCTAGCGCAATAACTGCAAATTTCTCATCATATTGACTCATATCAGTAATAAAGCTGTCAAAGTTAGATGCGTTCCCATCAATGTTGTTAAACACAATAGATATAAACGGCTTGTTATGGTTAAGTATGTTTTTTGACAGCCGGTTGAAATTTGTCATGTTATAATACCTACAGTCTTTTAGAATGTTTGAAATAGTCTCCATATCCTCGTCTCTTTCTACAGTGTTGGGATCATATTTGTCATAAATAATTGAGTTAAAAGGATTGTACCTTTGGGATTTGAAGGCGTAACACTGACTGCAGTGCCACATTTGTTTAACATGATCAAATTTAAAACTCTGTTCAGAACATTTGGCATGATATATTGTATCGCAACTCTCACATATTATGATTTTATGATGGCTTAGTACATTGCTATCACAACCTGGACATCTCTCTCTTGTAATATTGAAGTTTATTGAGGTCATATCGGTAAGATATCACCCGTACTACCCCTACTTAGGGCACTCCTATAGTCACCATTTCCACCTTTAAATCTTTCTGTGGACTGACTTCCACCACGTTGTACAATACACCGTTTTATGTTCATACAAAATATTTTCAGGCCTTCTCTCCCGAGATGAACAACATCATTGACCAATGGTGTGCCATCACGTGAGAATCTACCATACTTAGAGGGCATACATCCGTTAACAGAACCTAGTACAGAGTTATCTATAATAAACATGTTTTTCCTATTATAAACCATGTCGACAATTAAACTGTTTAACTCCCCTATACGTGAGTTAACAAACTGTGATTTGGTGGGCAAGAGTAAACTAATATGAACTTTACTATTAGGATAAAATTGCTGAATTTCACAACATTTCTTCTTAAGCTTAGCAATAAGTGTTCTAGTGGATGGTCTGTTGGAATCATCTCGAATATCATTGATTCCCGTATGTATAACAATGTTCCGAAAGGGGCCTATGTCTTTGGGAGCAGGAATATCGTCGATTTTAGCAGCCCACATTCGCTTACCGGGAACCCATTTTCCTAGAGTTCCAACATCTTTACCAAATTTAATGTACTTAGTGTTTGAGTCTCCAATTAACACTGTGCTATTTTTGTAGAAAGGCGCAATATGCCTAAAGGTAAAGCTGTACCTCACAGAAGTTTTCTCTTCAGATTCCTCGCCATCTTCCTCGCCATCTTCTCAATCAATACCATGATTCCAGATTTCTTGGGACATTCTGGACATCACGTATACACTTCCATCTTTGAGCTTTAAGGACTTTTCAGTCGACTTATGTGTGAACTTTATTGTGCGTTCTTCACCAAGGGACACAGTGACTATTATCGATTCTGGGTCAATAAGAACCTCATTGTCGCAGTGTTGGGGGATATGGCTACTATTGCCTGTATATCTTGTAACAAGGCAAGAGTTCAGCCAGCTCTTCCTATTGGGGAGAGAGGGACGCACACAGTCCAAAAGATCTTGTATCTCCGGTGGAGTTTCCTTTGCCTGATGATAGGCTCCTGTGTACCAGTATCCATGTTCACCAAAGTAGACAACATCCCTGCTGCCACCAACCGAAGAAAAATCCGCACTATTGTCCTCCAGCAGCTTTATAAGTTTGCTGTGAAGCTCAACAGGCACTATATCTTCCTGATAAGTTAGATAAGGGTCACATGCAGGGCCTTCAGGAATTTGAGATGCAGCAAAGTGAGGAGAAGTAGTGTTAGGGGTCATAAGGATAGATTCATTGTAACGTAGTTCACCTTCATCAAAGTTCTGTGTGGACGTTGAGGGACATACATGATCATTGATCTTTTCCAATTGCACTTTGATCTGGGTCATCAGGTTGTCAACATGATCGAAAGTACTGCTGTTAGTCGGAGGTTGCTCTGTCATAGGTATATTTTTGAGAGAGTCCTTCAGGCCATCAATCTCCTGTTTGAGAGAGTTGCTGGTTGTCTCAAGAGCTGAGCCACTCTCCTTTACTTTCGTAAGTACACCCTTGATAGAAGCTATGTCTTCAGTGATATCTTCAATTCCAGTCACTAATCGTTCTGTTCTTTTGGAGTGTTCTTTGAAACAACTGTCCTCCTTGAGTATGAGGTGTTTGATATGCTCGTTGAAGAACTCTATGGTTGTTGTACTTTCTTTGAGTTCCTCATTACACTTTGATATCTTAGAAATATTGCTAAAGAATTCTGTTAACGCTTTGGATTTTTCCTCCTCCTTCAATCTTCTTGTGTAAGGAAAGATAAAGCAGTCCGGGCACTTCCAGGAAGTGCTGAGCTTCTTTAGAGAAGTTGCTGTGAGGCCAGCAAGGTTAACACAGTTAGAATGGAAGGTCTGCTTACAAGTAACACATAAGATTGCAGGGTTCTTTGACTCTACAAAGCAGGGACACTTAGAGAGTAGCGTTCCTGGGATCGATGCTGGTTCGTTGCTCTCTACATCTACAAAGTCTCCATCAGATGTTAGATCTGCATCTGGCTCTGTGTTCCTATTATGTATTCTGCTAGTGACTTTTCGGCTTAAAACAGGGCTTGAAATAGGGGTGGATCCAGCTGACTTGCACCCTCGATACGTGGAATTAAAGAGGTCCGATCTCCTGTCGAGTTTCTTGTCGGTCTTTTTCATGATGATAATGGATGCGGAGTACAGGGGTGAGCGGAGGGGGCCAGGGTCAGACCCATCGAACCAGACCAGTAAACCTGAAACAAGCTAGGCGGCAGTGAGATGAGTAACATAAATTTATCAGTGATCACGTTAAGCTTAGCAGGAATCACCAGTATATTTAAGGCTAGTTAATGAGTTATTAAGTACGATTGTTGATTGAAAATGAATAAAGTATATCGAAACGTCAATTGTTTTGGATGAGATGTAAAATGGAGTGAATGTGCAATGAGGGGGAAGGGGCTGGGGTAAGGATCGGAGGGGTTGGGGTAAGGAAGGGCTATCAATTCAAATTCAATGTAAATTTTCAACTTTATCAATAAACAATCCCACACAAATATTAGTTAGAATCTCAAATCTGAATGAATGTACACATATAAAGGGTAAATAGTCTGCGGGTATTATATATAAATTTTTTAATAAAAAATGTGTGGGGAGGCAGATAACAGGGGAAAAAATGGGGAGAGGGATTTTGCAAGACTGCAGGTGGATATCTTTACTTTTTAGATTTCCATTGAATAACTGTCTTGGGTTAAATAATCTTCTCACTCTAACACGAATAGGACAGCATAATGATAAAAGCACAGCTAAACCTCAAGTGCAATTTTAAACATTTAAAAAAATTAATATTCATCTGTTAATACTTTTAGAGTTATGACAATCAAAGATATCAGTATAAATTTAAAGTATAATTTAAATTTGAATTTGTCATACATTAAATGAGCAATAAAGTAATTACATATCAATACGTTTTAGTAAATTTGCTATTTGCAGTGGTTCACAAAACCATTACTTATAATAACTGCTATTTTATTGAGGCTCTTCTATTTCAAGTGCAGACCGTAGTCACCATACATTTCAACACTACATACAGCAGTATCATATATATATACAAATATTTAAGGATATCCAGACTGTAGCCAAGCAAGTTCGCAGGGTTAAAAGTAGGGTCAGGGTAGGGTCACGTGGACGTGGATTTGAATGATGATGTTTATGGCGGTGCTGATGCTGATTGTAGAAAAATGATAATTACTCAACTTGCTTCAGGAGTCCATGGCTAGTCTTCTGAGTACACGACCCGGCCACCCCGCATCACCCCCACACACCTTTTCCAATTAGTGCTGCATTACTTGCGAACTTGCTTGACTGACATTCTTTTTCGACATCCTCAAATTATTTGTTATATAGTAGTGTTGAAAGTATTAAAACAACCTGCTATTGACTTATTTAGTAAGTCAATAGCAGGTTGGGTGTGGGATTTGAGTACAATTTATAGAGGAAGGGGAGGCGGGGGTAAGGAAAAGTTTGTATATAAAAGATACAGTATTATATATAGATATAGAATATATTGATATATAGGATAGAATATATATACATGTACACAGTATAATACCACAACACTACTATATAAAATACCTCTATTCAAGGATGTCCATGCAGTCCAGAGTACCCGCAACAGGTAAAAGGAGGGAGGGGTAGGGCTAGGCTAGGGTAGGGTAGGGTAGTGAAGGAGAGAGTGTTTGTGTCATTGTGATGGAGACGAGATGCAGTGCAGATGTGACATGAATCTAAAGAACTCATCTTATTTTCAAGGCTGATAGCCAGTCTTCTGATGCCACTGGCCCCCAGAGCTCACATGCACCCCGTTACCAAGTCGTTTACAGCTGCATTTCTTGTTGCGGGTACTCTAGACTTCCATGGTACATCCTCAAATTATTTGTTATATAGTAGTGTTGAAAGTATTAAAACTTAGCGCAGTGGTAAATTGGTTATGACAGGAGGTTAGTAAGTTAATGAGATCACACAGACAGGGCTCAGGTGGCGGATAATCTCATTAAATGGGCCTATTAACTGCTAAGGCATCATGTAGCCGGTGGGCCCGACATGATACGACATATCTTGACACGTCGGGGTTTGTCGGGATTTGTCAGGGTTTGTCGGGGTTTGTCGGGGTTTGTCAGGGTTTGACGGGGTTTGACGGGGTTTCCGGTTTGTCGAGCCTGGAGGCTTTTTTTTTTCTTTTTTTTTTTTTTTTTGGTTGAGTCTCCCAACAAAAAGCCGAGACGGAGTCATCAAGCTTTACGTGGAAAAACACTATACAAGAAGGCCTCATGTAGCCGGTGGGCCCGAGGCAAAACCCCTCGACAAACCCCGACAAACCCCGTTTGTCGGGGTTTGTCGGGATATGTCGGGGTTTGTCGGGGTTTGTCGGGGTTTGTCGGGGTTTGTCGAGCCTGGAGGCTACATGATGCCTCTGCTAGATAAGTAAGTTAGATAGTTGTTGAGTAAGTTAACTTAGTAAACGTGTTGATCTCGTCAACACTAATTGTAGCTGTACGTGATCTCGGCAACACTAATTGTAGCTGTACGTGATTTTCACGGGGGGGGGGGGGGGGGGGGGGGGGGATCATGTTTTTTGTCCGTTTGGCAGCTATATTTTCAAAACGGACAAAAAATAAAGCGGACAAAAACGGACAAAAAATAACAAAAATTGAAATAACATTTAGATGCTTCCTCCTCCTCCTCCTCCTCCTCCTCCTCTTCCACCTCCTCAGTCATCCTCCTCAGTCCTGCTCCTCCTCCTGAGTCCTCCTCCTGGGTCCTCCTCCTGAGTCCTCCTCCTCCTCTTCATCCTCCTCCTCTTCATCCTCTTCCTCCTCAGTCCTCAGTCCTTCTCCTCAGTCCTCCTCCTCAGTCCTCCTCCTCATCCTTCTTCTCAGTCCTCCTCCTCAGTCCTCCCCCAGTCCCCCTCCTCCTCCTTCTATTCAGTCCTCCTCCTCATCCTCCTCAATTCTCCTCAGTCCTCCTCCTTCTCAGTCCTCCTGAGTCCTCCTCCTGAGTCCTCCTCCTCCTCCTCCCCCTCCCTCTCAGTCATCCTCCTCAGCCATCCTCCTCAGCCATCCTCTTCAGTCCTCCTCAGTCCTCCTTAGTCCTCCTCCTCCTGGGTCCTCCTCCTCCTCTTCATCCTCCTCCTCTTCCTCCTCTTCCTCCTCAGTCCTCAGTCCTTCTCCTCAGTCCTCCTCCTCATCCTTCTCGTCAGTCCTCCTCCTCCTCAGTCCTCCAGCTCCCCCAGTCCCCCTCCTCCTCCTATTCAGTCCTCCTCCTCCTCCTCCTCAGTTCTCCTCCTTCTCATTCCTCCTTCTGAGTCCTCCTCATTCCTCCTTCTGAGTCCTCCTCCTCCTCTTTCTACTGAGTCCTCCTCCTGGGTCCTCTTTCTCCTCCTCCTCCTCAGTCCTCCTCCTCCTCCCTCTCAGTCATCCTCCTCAGTCATCCTCCTCAGCCATCCTCCTCAGCCATCCTACTGAGCGATCCTCCTCAGCGATCCTCCTCAGTACTCCTCATTCCTCCTCCTTCTCAGTCCTCCCCCTCAGTCATCCTTCTCCTCCTCCTCCTCCTGGGGGGATCCTGTTTTTTCCGTTCGGAACCCTATATTATCAAAATGGACAAAAAATAGAGCGGACAAAAACGGACAAAAAATAACAAAAATGGAAATAATATTTAGATGCTTCCTCCTCCTCCTCCTCCTCCTCCTCAGTCTTCCTCAGTCATCCTCCTCCTCCTCCTGAGTCCTCCTCCTGGGTCCTCCTCCTGGGACCTCCTCCTCTTGGGTCCACCTCCTCTTCATCCTCCTCCTCTTCCTCCTCAGTCCTCAGTCCTCCTCCTCAGCTCAGTCCTCCTTCTCAGTCCTCCTCCTCATCCTTTTCCTCAGTCCTCCTCCTCAGTCCTGCCCAGTCCCCCTCCTCCTCCTATTCACTCCTCCTCCTCCTCCTCCTCCTCCTCCTCCTCAGTCCTCCTCCTCCTCAGTCCTCCTCCTTCTCAGTCCTCCTCCTCCTCCTCAGTCCTCCTCCTCCTCAGTCCTCCTCTTCCTCCTCCTGGGTCCTCCTCGTGGGTCCTCCTCCTCGTGGGTCTTCCTGATCCTCCTCAGTCCTCTTCCTCCTCCCCTCCTCAGTCCTTCTCTTACTCCTCCTCGTCCTCAACAGTCCTCCTTCTCCCCAGTCCTCCTCCTCCTCCTCATGGGGCCTTTTCCTGGGTCCTCCTCCTGGGTCCTCATCCTCCTGGGTCCTCCTCCTCCTGCTTCTCCTCCTCAGTCCTTCTCCTCCTCAGTCCTTCTCCTCCTCAGTCCTTCTCCTCTTCCTCCTCCTCCTCAGTCTTCATCATATTCCTCAGTCCTCCCCCAGTCACCCTCCTCCTCAGTCCTCCCCCAGTCACCCTCCTCCTCATCCTCATCCTCCTCATCAGTCCTCCTTCGCTTTCTCAGTCCTCCTCTTCAGTCCTCCTCCTCCTTCTTTTCCTGGTTTCTCCTCCTCAGTCCGCATTCTCCTCCTCAATCCTTCTCAGTCCTTTCCCCAGTCACCCTCCTCCTCATCCTCCTCATCAGTCCTCCTTCTCCTTAGTCCTCCTCCTCAGTCCTCCTCCTCCTCCTCATGGGTTCTCCTGGATCCCTCTTCTCCTCCTCAGTCCTTCTCCTCCTCCTCAGTTATCCTCCTCCTCCTCCTTCTCCTCCTGGGTCCTCCTCCTTCTCCTCACCAGTCCTCCTCCTCAGTCCTCCTCATCCTCTTCATCCACTTACTTCTCCTCCTCATCAGTCCTCCTCAGTCCTCCTCCTCAGTCCTCCTCCTCCTCGTCCTCAGTCCTCGTCATCAGTCCTCATCAGTCCTCCTCCTCCCAAGTCATCCTCCTCCTCCTGGGGCCTTTTCCTGTGTCCTCCTCCTCCTGGGTCCTCCTCCTGGGTCCTCCTCCTCTTCCTTCTCCTCAGTCCTTCTCCTCCTCAGTCCTTCTCCTCTTCCTCCTCCTCAGTCTTCCTCAATCCTTTCCCCAGTCACCCTCCTCCTCATCCTCATCCTCCTCATCAGTCCTCCTTCTCCTTCTCAGTCCTCCTTCTCAGTCCTCCTCCTCCTCTTCTTCCTGGTTCCTCCTCCTGGGTCCTCCTTCTCCTCCTCAGTCCTCCTCCTCTTCCTCCTCCTCCTGGGTCCTCCTGATTCTCCTCAGTCTTCTTCCTCCTTCTACTCCTCAGTCCTCCTCCTCTTCAATCCTCCTCTTCCTCCTAAGTCCTCCCCTCCTCAGTCCTCCTAAGTCCTCCCCTTCTCAGTCCTCCTCCTCATCAGTCCTCTTCACCAGTCATCCCTCATCCTCCTCAGTCCTCCTTATCCTCATCCTTCATCTCCTTCCTTCATCTCCTTTCTCCTCCTCATCCTCCTCATTCACCTCCTTCTCCTCATCAGTCCTCCTCCTCACTGCTCACTCCTTCTCCTCCTCCTCGTCCTTAGTCCTCTTTATCAGTCCTCATCAGTCCTCCTCCTCCTCAGTCCTCCTTTTGGGGCCTTTTCCTGGGTCCTCCTCCTCTTGGGTCCTCCTCCTCTTGGGTCCTCATCCTCATCCTTCTCCTTAGTCCTCCTCCTCCTCAGTCCTCCTCTTGAGTCCTTCTTATCCTCCTCCTCCTATTCATTCCTCCTCCTCAGTTCTCCTTCTCAGTCTCACTCCTCCTTCTCAGTCCTCCTCCTCCTCTTCTTCCTGGTTCCTCCTCCTGGGTCCTCCTTCTCCTCCTCACTCCTCAGTCCTCCTCCTCTTCCTCCTCCTCCTGGGTCCTACTGATCCTCATCAGTCTTCTTCCTCCTTCTACTCCTCATTCCTCCTCCTCCTCAATCCTCCTAGGCCTCCCCTTCTCAGTCCTCCTCCTCATCAGTCCTCTTCACCAGTCCTCCTCCTCAGTCCTCCTTATCCTCATCCTTCATCTCCTTTCTCCTCTTCATCCTCCTCATACACCTCCTTCTCCTCATCAGTCCTCCTCCTCACTCCTCAGTCCTTCTCCTCCTCCTCCTCCTCCTCGTCCTTAGTCCTCTTTATCAGTCTTTATCAGTCCTCATCGGTCCTCCTCCCCAGTCCTCCTCATGGGGCCTTTTCCTGGGTCCTCCTCCTGATCCTGGGTCCTCCTCCTCTTGGATCCTCCTCCTCTTGAGCCCTTCTTCTCCTCCTCCTCCTATTCATTCCTCCTCCTCAGTTCTCCGTCTCAGTCTCACTCCTCCTCAGCCCCCCTCCCCTCCCTCCTCAGTCCCCCTCCTCAGTCCCCCCTCCTCCTTTTCCTCTCTTTCATCTCTCAATAATTTGTTCAATTTATAATTATTGTTGGTGTTATTGTTAACATAATTTATTGTTATATACTAAAATGTTTTTAAGCGCATTTGAGTCTGACTCAAAATGTGCTCAAGAATCTTTGTGTTTAACAAAGTTTTACTCTCCAGTAATAAAACTTTTCATCCCTTTTTATGTTATTAAAAAATGTTTAGACTATTCTTTGTGCCTAATTGAAGATTAAAAGTTTGAGAAAGGACCATGGTCATTAACCGGGCTACCCATTTCTGCAGATAGCCTGTTACAAATTGTGGAGAAAATTTAAATCAAAAGTTACAATTTTTGTCCGTTTTTGTCCGTTTGGCAGCTATATTTTCAAAACGGACAAAAATTAACGGACAAAAACGGACAAAAAATAACATGATCCCCCCCCCTTTTCACGCTCTAGGGAGCGCAGACTATTTGTTTGGGCTATTTATTGTTTGAAACATTATAAACATTGATATGATGATGGTTAAGAAGTTATAATATATATAATATCACTAATCAATGCGTTGAGCCTGTACGTGTTCTACGAACAGAGCAAGACTATTTCCTCTTCAATGTTCCTCCTGTTTCAAATAATTGTAAGACTGGACGAAGTTTTAGTTACTGTTGATCCTATGTTTGGAATCAGCTACCGTATGCATTAAGAACTTCGCATGATATTCTATTGTTCAAAAAGAAACTTAAGATTTATCTTTTTGAAATTATATTCTAGCTAGTTAAACAAGGAATTGAAACTGTGGGGCTCCGTGTAGACCAACTTACCTGTGGCTAAAGCTCTAATATACAAAAACAATACATTCAATTACATTGCACAGCGAAGGGTCGCCATATAATAACTTTATTATACACTAAATTAAACGATAATCTTAAAAAGTAAAATTCCATAAGTTCATGTGTTTTGTTAATTAGTGTAGTTACATTGAAGAAACTGTTAAAAAGATGAATGGCACCGTGCCCGGGGAGGGAAGATCAGGTACCAAGTTTTGTACGTGATCCCCCGGACCCCCCCCCCCCCGCCGTGTTTCTAGAATACGGAACCAAGTTTGGTATGTGATTCTTGAACTCTGGGAGTCTGTTTAAAGTTAACGGCAACATAATTAGATTGATTACTAGTATAACTATAATAATTGATACATTAACAGGGTTAACACCTTACATAAGATATAGACTACAGTCCACAGTGTACAGTACGTGGTCTTAGTAACTCCGCTATGTGTAAAGAATAGAGAACTTGTTGTTGTGTTAATTGGTCAATATGGAAACTGCTGTACCTCAGTACATTAAATAGACTAGAGCCAGTACTTATTATATCTAAAATCCCTATTTAATGAAACTACTAATTAGTTACCCTAATTAATTACTTCTCTGTATTGTATCATTGTAACTGACTGTCACTCGCAGAGACCAGCGAAACTGTTAATTAGTTACCCTAATTACTACTTATTAGTTACCTTAATTACTACTAATTAGTTACCCTATTTAACCCTCGCAGAGACCAGAGAGACAAGACTGGTTTGTAGGTGTGATCTCAGCCTGTCAAGGATACGATATCAGCAAACAAGGACCCTACTTCCTCACGTACGTAATTAGCTTATTTGTTAATTAATTAGCTTATTTGCTAATTAATTAGCTTACTTGTTGATTAATTAGTTTACTTGTTATTTAATTAGCGTACTTGTTAATTAATTAGCTTACTTGTTAATTAATTAGCTTACTTGTTAATTAATTAGCTTACTTGTTAATTAATTAGCTTACTTGTTAATTAATTAGCTTACTTGTTAATTAATTAGCTTACTTGTTAATTCATTGGATTACTTGTTAATTAATTAGCCTACTTGTTAATTAATTAGCTTACTTGTTAATAAATTAGCTTTCTTATTTTTACGTTTCTTCTAATTTCAATTATTATGAACAGTGAATTACTCCGAAAATTTAATGTAGTTCACATTACTTACTGCAAAACTCATTCCATAATCTGGAACTCCTGCCATTCAAATCCGATTTTCTTTGAAAATGAACCGAAATCTTTACTGCCTGGTTATACCCCAAGGAATCTGCAGCTATTTAAGATTTATCATATTAATATAATATACACTATACAGTATACACTGTATTATGTTTTATCTGATCTGATTCTTACGAACCAAATATCACGAAGAATATTCAAGATTGTCAAGATTGCCTATTGTACTACAGTCTACACATGACAAGACATGGGTAGTCAATGGTTTCCGTAAGCAATAAGTCAGCAGTTCTGTCGAACTCTAAATCTGATTCCGTAGTTCCGTGGAAAATACTTACGGTTTCCATTTCTACGTTTCACCTTTCCTTTCTGAAGACAAATTAGTCGTATACGGTATTTAATGTAAGATTAAGTGTAGATTTAGACGATATAGTTTCAGAGGCACATATTAGGTGCGATGGGTGCGGGATCGCACATTTTACCGTTTTCCGCACATTTCCGCATAATTTATTGTTTTCTGCACACTTCCGCACATTTTGTAATTTTCTGCATATTTCCACATAATATAGCATTTTCCGCGTATAAATTTCGCATAATTTTGAAATTTTCGCGTTAAGATTTTCGAGTGTAAAAACCAAAATATGTTAAAAGTCGGGCCCTTTTAGGACCGTGACTCAAGCCCTTTAGGACCGTGACTCAGGCCCTTTCGGGACCGTGACCCAGGCCCTTTTGGAACTCATACCTAGGCCACGTGACCCAGTTACCACGTGACCCAGGCCCTTTCGGGACCCTTACCCAGGCCCTTTCGGGACCCTGACCAAGGCCCTTTCGGGACCGTGACCTAGGCCACGTGACCCAGTTACCGCGTGACCCAGGCCCTTTCGGGACCCTGATCCAGGCCCTTTCGGGACCCTGACCCAGGCCCTTTCGGGACCCTGACCCAGGCCCTTTTGGAACTCATGCCTAGGCCACGTGACCCGGTTACCACGTGACCCAGGCCCTTTCGGGACCATGACCCAGGCCCTTTCGGGAGCGTTACCCAGGCCCTTTCGGGACCGTTACCCAGGCCCTTTTGGGACCGTGACCCAGGCCGTTATGGAACTCTCGTCGTTACCGTACTTCGATCATACCTGCAGCCCTTTTTATCGGGTAATGAGCTCTATTTGTTGTAGCGTTGGCTTTTTTATAGTGGGCTTAATGGATCTTGGATCAAATGGTTTACAAGTACTGACGATCAATGCCAACAAGCGTGTCACATATTTGCGATCACGCATGGGATCTGATCGACTCTATCAAGAGGCGTCTTCAAATAACTGTCCCCTGATCTCTACCAGATCAAGTCACTGTTCTCAGATAACTGAATCTCAATATAGGTTCAATCATGGTCTTAGTAAAGAACTACACATAAACAGACCTATTTTTGATAAGAGCGGCGGTTATACGTTTAGAATTTCCAAAGTCCTTCAGAAAATGCAAAAGAATACCGCACAATTCCCGCACAAATTTCGAAAAAATCGTCGCACATTTGCCGCATAATTGGTAAAAATTTACCGCACCTTACCGCACATTTTACCTTTATAGTCGGGTGCGGTACCGCATAATTTCTATTTTTTTACCGCACCTAATATGTGCCTCTGTATAGTTTAAGTTATTCACAGCGGGTACTGTTCAAGCTCTTTGAAGTTAGATCTAAAGTTACACACACTTTACTTTCCGCAGAAGTGAGAAGAGCTCTATACCACACTATTACACATTAAACAGGCCGGTCTTTGTGACCCTGTCTATTGTAAGTGAATGTTACCAATTATAGAAGAGTCAGTGTGAAATGAAAATAACCTTCCACTCTAGAGAGGGGGTAATTATGATAACGTGGATAGTTGATAGGGTCAAAATTTGTTAAGTTGTATTTATGAATATAGTAGAAGATGGAGGGACTGGTAGAGAGAGAGAGAGAGAGAGAGAGAGAGAGAGAGAGAGAGAGAGAGAGAGAGAGAGAGAGAGAGAGAGAGAGAGAGAGAGAGGGAGAGAGAGAGAGAGAGAGAGAGAGAGAGAGAGAGAGAGAGAGAGAGAGAGAGAGAGAGAGAGAGAGAGAGAGAGAGAGAGAGAGAGAGAGAGAGAGAGAGAGAGAGAGAGAGAGAGAGAGAGAGAGAGAGAGAGAGAGAAAGAGAGAGAGAGAGAGAGAGAGAGAGAGCACCCCCTGTGTCTCACAACATACTACTCACAACTGTGCACTTCCTCAGAATTCACATCACTTAGTTCAGTTAAGTGGTATGGTATGTCCCCCTTCTTTGGAAAACCACTGAGTTTCACATTAAACATTCAATAAGACGTGAACTCTGAGCTTGGCAATATTATAGGTATAAAAGCTTGTAGATGATTGGAAGAGTTACGTGAGTAAAACAGAATAACTGCACCGTCGCTGCTTTCTGCAGATATTTAGTTACCGCGCGCTTACCAGAATTGTCCGTCATAAATATAGTAGAGTTTGGACCTTCAGCGGTAGGACACTTTTGACTCGTCAGATAATAAATTTAATTATATTTCTCATAATGTAATATCGGGAATGATTAATTGAATTCTTATTGTGAATTTTTTTCGGACATTTCCACATTGTTACACAAGTGTAACCAGCCAATTACAGCAGCCGAAGGATTCAATTATACATTAGGCCAGTGACGGTTAAGGTAGTGTGTAGACTGTGTACCATATTTTCTTCGCCCGAGACCTTACTGCAACGGGCAGCTCCTCATTTAACCCTCACACCCGATTTCTCGGGTATTCGGCTGAGTGGACCGGGGGCAGGGGGCTGTAGGATGTAGACTTTGTGGAGTAATTAGGCGATAGAATCTCTGTTTCATATCTGTATGAAATATCAGTAAAGTTTTACATCTAGAGGATTGGTAGCGACATTGTTTTAAGTTATAATACTCGCATTTTATCAGACTCTGTTAATCTTTTAATTTAGATTTACCCAGATATTTAATTAAATATACCCAGATGTTAATTTAAATATACCCAGATATTTTAAACTGTAAATCTCAATATGAAGTAAGTGAGATTGAACAGTTTGACTAAAAAGAAGAAAAAACGTACTGTAACTCAGATCCAGCACAAATATCAATATCATCATCAATAATTACAATTCCTTAAAAGTGATAAACATTTCGCAGTGTATTCTAAAATACACGATTCACACTCTCTCTAACCTCCTTACTGAGTCTAATAAAGCACTGAGTCTAATAAAGTAATAAGCACTAAGACTTATAAGCACTGAGTCTAATAAGCACTGAGTCTGATAAGCACTGAGACTGATAAGCACTGAGTCTGATAGGCAGTCTACAATTTCTTAAATAGTATACAGGTCACCTGTACTTCAATGTGTAACCTAAAGGAAGAGTATTTGATACATCGGATAAAAGGAGCGTTACACTAGTTGGATAAAAGGAGCGTTACAGTTGGATAAAAGGAGCGTTACAGTTGGATAAAAGGAGCGTTACAGTTGGATAAAAGGAGCGTTACAGTTGGATAAGTTGGTGGTTAAACTCGGTAGACGTGGGGAGGGTGCAGTTTTCAGCAATAAGTTTAGGATCTTTATCTGACTCAAAAACTTCCTTAGAATTACAATTTAATAATTTGATTTAGGAAAGTTATTGATAATAGATGCAATGAACTGAATTCTTCGTCCTGAACTTCTTTGCCCCCAGTGAAGTCAATCAGAACAATGTATATTTTATGTGACTTATTAGTTATTATATATGCTTTAATTGGGTCACTATGCACACTCATTTAGAGTACCCACCCTCATTAAAAGTACCAGCCAATGAGCCAATCACAAAATCTCAGTCTTAGTTGACTCTACTCGTATTACACTCGGGAATATGAACCATACCTGCTCAATAAGTGATAAACTTTGCCAAGTATCCATCCTTTCTCGAGAATTCTCATTCACGGTACCTAATACATCGTACCAGTTGCATTGTGTACCACTAAAGTTGACCCTTTCCTCCCTTCAGGTGGGATCGTATGGCTAGTGTGTACCACTAAAATTGACCCTTTCCTCCATTCAGGTGGGATCGTATGGCTAGTGTGTACCACTAAAGTTGACCCTTTCCTCCCTTCAGGTGGGATCGTATGGCTAGTGTGTACCACTAAAGTTGACCCTTTCCTCCCTTCAGGTGGGATCGTATGGCTAGTGTGTACCACTAAAGTTGACCCTTTCCTCCATTCAGGTGGGATCGTATGGCTAGTGTGTACCACTAAAGTTGACCCTTTCCTCCCTTCAGGTGGGATCGTATGGCTAGTGTGTAACACTAAAGTTGACCCTTTCCTCCCTTCAGGTGGGATCGTATGGCTAGTGTGTCACACTAAAGTTGACCCTTTCCTCCCTTCAGGTGGGATCGTATGGCTAGTGTGTCACACTAAAGTTGACCCTTTCCTCCATTCAGGTGGGATCGTATGGCTAGTGTGTAACACTAAAGTTGACCCTTTCCTCCCTTCAGGTGGGATCGTATGGCTAGTGTGTAACACTAAAGTTGACCCTTTCCTCCCTTCAGGTGGGATCGTATGGCTAGTGTGTACCACTAAAGTTGACCCTTTCCTCCCTTCAAGTGGGATCGTATGGCTAGTGTGTACCACTAAAGTTGACCCTTTCCTCCATTGAGGTGGGATCGTATGGCTAGTGTGTACCACTAAAGTTGACCCTTTCCTCCCTTCAGGTGGGATCGTATGGCGAGACTCTACAACTGGGCCATCACCAACGATGCCTTGAAAGCCACCTTTTACCGACACAGTAAAGTAATGGCGGGTATCTACGATATGAGGAGGGTATCCTCCGCTACTTGTATGCAGGTTTGTAGGCTGACCAGTTAATTAATTGGTAATTATATAATTATAACCATTGCTATTTACAGTCAATAATTCAGTCTGCACAGATTACATCATTATTATTTGTAATTGCGCTTGATTTTTTGAATTATTTTGGTCACAGTATGTTGTACAATAAATCCTCCCATTGTCATTGACATCATCAGTTTTCTGTCCTGATTTCTAGTTACATTGTATCGTAACCTGACATTCCCGGAATTCCACAGCTCCTCAAGCTCCAGATTGTAGAATTCGAACATGCACAAATCTTACAGCTTCCTGTAGGCTGATATGAAGGCAGTTGATATCTATATAGATTAGGAGCAGTTAATGTGTAACATTGTATAATATTGTAGATATCCCTGTCCCGCATCAGGGTTCGCAGTTCCTCTTTAGATTTTGTCCCAACTTCCTTCAGTAACATAGACAAGAAGCTTTGTCTTGGTCGGCCTTGTTGTGCTCTACCATGCGTAGGTTTCCATACGACTAATTTCTAGTTAGATTAGGAGCAGGAGGACTAATATCTAGTTAGATTAGGAGCAGGAGGACTAATATCTAGTTAGATTAGGAGCAGGAGGACTAATATCTAGTTAGATTAGGAGCAGGAGGACTAATTTCTAGTTAGATTAGGAGCAGGAGGACTAATTTCTAGTTAGATTAGGAGCAGGAGGACTAATATCTAGTTAGATTAGGAGCAGGAGGACTAATATCTAGTTAGATTAGGAGCAGGAGGACTAATATCTAGTTAGATTAGGAGCAGGAGGACTAATATCTAGTTAGATTAGGAGCAGGAGGACTAATATCTAGTTAGATTAGGAGCAGGAGGACTAATATTTAGTTAGATTAGGAGCAGGAGGACTAATATCTAGCTAGATTAGGAGCAGGAGGACTAATATCTAGTTAGATTAGGAGCAGGAGGACTAATATCTAGTTAGATTAGGAGCAGGAGGACTAATATCTAGTTAGATTAGGAGCAGGAGGACTAATATCTAGTTAGATTAGGAGCAGGAGGACTAATATCTAGTTAGATTAGGAGCAGGAGGACTAATATCTAGTTAGATTAGGAGCAGGAGGACTAATATCTAGTTAGATTAGGAGCAGGAGGACTAATATCTAGTTAGATTAGGAGCAGGAGGACTAATATCTAGTTAGATTAGGAGCAGGAGGACTAATATCTAGTTAGATTAGGAGCAGGAGGACTAATATCTAGTTAGATTAGGAGCAGGAGGACTAATATCTAGTTAGATTAGGAGCAGGAGGACTAATATCTAGTTAGATTAGGAGCAGGAGGACTAATATCTAGTTAGATTAGGAGCAGGAGGACTAATATCTAGTTAGATTAGGAGCAGGAGGACTAATATCTAGTTAGATTAGGAGCAGGAGGACTAATATCTAGTTAGATTAGGAGCAGGAGGACTAATATCTAGTTAGATTAGGAGCAGGAGGACTAATATCTAGTTAGATTAGGAGCAGGAGGACTAATATCTAGTTAGATTAGGAGCAGGAGGACTAATATCTAGTTAGATTAGGAGCAGGAGGACTAATATCTAGTTAGATTAGGAGCAGGAGGACTAATATCTAGTTAGATTAGGAGCAGGAGGACTAATATCTAGTTAGATTAGGAGCAGGAGGACTAATATCTAGTTAGATTAGGAGCAGGAGGACTAATATCTAGTTAGATTAGGAGCAGGAGGACTAATATCTAGTTAGATTAGGAGCAGGAGGACTAATATCTAGTTAGATTAGGAGCAGGAGGACTAATATCTAGTTAGATTAGGAGCAGGAGGACTAATATCTAGTTAGATTAGGAGCAGGAGGACTAATTTCGAGTTAGATTAGGAGCAGGAGGACTAATATCTAGTTAGATTAGGAGCAGGAGGACTAATATCTAGTTAGATTAGGAGCAGGAGGACTAATATCTAGTTAGATTAGGAGCAGGAGGACTAATATCTAGTTCGATTAGGAGCAGGAGGACTAATATCTAGTTAGATTAGGAGCAGGAGGACTAATATCTAGTTAGATTAGGAGCAGGAGGACTAATATATCTAGTTAGATTGGGAGCAGTTAATGTGTAACTGTGTAACAGTGTATAATATTGTAGATTAGCAGGATGTAACTGTAAACCTTTAGCAAGGCAACTGTTTAGGATTCTCTGTATCTATTCACTCAGCAGCTGGTATTGGATACCGAGAAAACGAAATGAGCAGGGGGAAATATTACAAGGATACATTTTAAAAGACCATGTTTGATGGTCCGTCAAAAATTCCTGGAGATTCGGAGTTTTGTTAAGGATCTTCGATCGATTTCTAAGAAATAGAACCAATAATTTGGGTTTCCACTGTATAATTAAAGCGGTAGTACATTATTATGTCATTTGAGCAGGGTAATTGAGCTTTGTGCTTTGGTTCAATTTGGAAATACATTCAACATTCACCGAAATACTCACCTTCCTGAACACTTCTTCATAATACTAGGCTGCTTCTGAGTAAATAATGTTTATTTTAAATAACACTTTTGCTGAGTTTGAAAATGTATGATTATGAAAATAATTCTCAGGACTTTGACGCTTGTGTAATGTCTAAGATGTACGGTTACGAAAGCCACGAACATATGTACAAAGATTGGAGCTGTTCTAGGTAATTATCTAATTATTTACTAATTATTTATTAATTATTTACTTGAGTTGTTGCTGGTGATTAAAAAAGTAATTAGTTACTTACCTATTGGGATAAGAATGCCTGTTCAAGTATTTCAAGATATCTTTTTACTTTATCTAAGTCTGACAGTCAAAAGGTTGACAATCAGCCTTCTTTGTAATATTGCTGGCTCTGAGTCCCGTTAAAGGTGGTTGTGCGAGAAGTTAAAACTATAATTACAACCTTTATAAATACAACTTTTATCAATTTCGATTTTCATGCTCGAAAATCGGTAAATGACAGCCCAACATCCAGAAAGACCGTAGATAATCTGCGAAGAAATTTTGGAGGAAATTTGGTGCCAAAGAGGACATTTTTAGAAGACCTGATTTTTTCTAGGGCATACAAAAATTTGTAGAGGGGAAAAAATTATCTGCGAGGAAATTGTAAACTTCCTGTATAGGATGACAGCATAGACAAGAAGTATCGTTCTCATGCAAGAAGAAACAATATGTTAATCTAAACATTGTTACGCCGTAAATTGGTTAATTTAATGATATGCCTACTTGACTTTAGTAGACAATGCAATGAATAATTAGTAATAATTAGTAGACAATGAATAATTAGTAACCCCAGTTCTGCCGAGTCAGCTGTCATTGTTAAGATGATATGTTTACCAAGATACATATTCCAGACAGGCCACAGGGTACTCATTATAACAAGTACTTTCAATGATAGTGTCTCCTGTGCTGCAGGTCCGCGGAGTAACTACTGTAGTTTTCATGACACGTGACCGATCAGACCCTAACTCTGAGACTGAAGGAACGTGTTTCAACGTACTACAAAATTGTTGATTCATATATGTATGATACTTTGGGGAGGTGAACCATATTTTTGTGATATTGATTATAGGTTTTGATTGGTCACTGATTAAAACTGATTGGTTATTGGTTAATCGCTATCACGTGTCATAAAAATATCCAAATCTATAAGCTGCAACTTTGCCAAGAATTTTACTATTAAATTATCACAGATATGATTAAGGGGGCATACACCAAAACAGTGGTTTGTGCCGTCCAGACCAAATGACCTCATAGGCAGTTCAGTGACCTTCTAGCGCACCGTTTCCACACCAAAAAAAATTATTTTGAGAATTCCCATTTTTGTAATCGACCATTTCCTGGTTAAGAGTGCAATTTTCGGGAAAAATTATTTTGTGGTTGAGACGCTATAAGTTAATCATTTCTTGCGGTATCGGGTTGAAATTTTGCTCGCCGTTTATTCACATCTATTTCAAGGTGTGTGTAAAATCTTGATACCCTATCTAAAAAGGCTGGTGTGTTATGAATTTTTAAAGTCAAAAAGCTAAAATTGTCCTTTTCAGGCTTATTTTAACAAAAAGTCAGTCAGGGAAAATCGGATTATTTGATGCTTGACATCAAATTGTTCTCTGAATTCTGGCGCAGTTTTTGATGCCCTCAAAAATGTTTTTACTCATTCACCTTCTGATCTATTGGACCTCAAAGCCAAACAACAAATTTAGGCACATTTTTCGTTTTTAATATTTACTGATTTTTCCAAAATTTTGATAGGAATGTGCTAGTGACTTTTTGAAGGGTGCAAAATAACCGCAACTACCGTAGCACATTTATATATGAGTTATGAACAAAAAAACGCCCTAAAATGCTTCCCTTTGAAGTTATGGGAGAAAATGTGATTTTTTATCTGCAAAGCCAAAAAAATAGATGTGAATAAACGGCGAGCAAAATTTCAACCCGATACCGCAAGAAATGATTAACTTATAGCGTCTCAACAACAAAATAATTTTTTCCGAAAATTGCACTCTTAACCAGGAAATGGTCGATTACAAAAATGGGAATTCTCAAAATAATTTTTTTGGTGTGGAAACGGTGCGCTAGAAGGTCACTGAACTGCCTATGAGGTCATTTGGTCTGGACAGATTTGGTGTATGCCCCCTTAAGGCCCGGGACAGTCACTCCTACTAGCTTAAAACTAGGCTCGTATCGGGACGATCACTTCTACTAGGCTTGTATCGGGACGATCACTTCTACTAGGCTTGTATCGGGACGATCACTTCTACTAGGCTTGTATCGGGACGATCACTTCTACTAGGCTTGTATCGGGAGGATCAATTCTACTAGGCTTGTATCGGGAGGATCACTTTTACTAGGCTTGTATCGGGACGATAACTTCTACTAGGCTTGTATCGGGACGATCACTTCTACTAGGCTTGTATCGGGACGATCACTTCTACTAGGCTTGTATTAGCAAATCTAGGAAATTGGGGCACATGGTCCGCGTATTCCTGTATTGATTTTGTGAACCTATTGTCCTACACTTATTCATACTACAATATTTCACAATACTACTTCTGTAATATGGGAGAAGCCTTCATTACGCAATGCTATGACGTTCTCTTTTTTCTCCCTCATAATTATATTATATATGGGAGCTTTTGCAATTTGCAAACCACTACAGAAACCATACAGAACGCGAATTTTCTCTATTCATTATATTCTTTTAATTGTGGGTGGAAGAGTTGACGCCCTGAAAACACCCTGAAAACACCCTGAAAACACCCTGAAAACACCCTGAAAAAACCCTGAAAATACCCTGAAAACGCCATGAAAACACCCGGAAAATACCCTGAAAATACCCTGAAAACACCCTGGAAACACCCTGAAAACACCCTGAAAACACCATGAAAACACCCTGAAAACACCCTGAACACACCCTGAAAACACCCTGAACACACCCTAAAAAAACACCCATTTCAGGTTGCTGGATAACATCAAGATCCCCATGATAACCCTGAACGCAGTGGATGACCCTATCATAGCGCCAGTCTGCAGCGACATAGCTATTCGGCAAGCCTGCAAAAACGACCGGGTTCTTCATATTCAGACTCAGGTAAATATATTTTTTAAATATAAAGCACTTTTAATTTGTTCTTTGGACGAAGCTTTTAATAGAGCTCTGGTTAGTGGGTGTCGTCTATTAGGGAGAGAGAGAGAGTCTACCATAAAACTTCTCGTCCACTATCTTATTTTTTGCTCATATTCCGCTGGTTTGATTACCGCAGACGTGAACACACTATGTAAAACTGTGACTACAGCTAATATATTATAAGCTGCTGTAGAAAAAGGATTACCTCACTATATATGACATGTTATATGACAGAACATGTTATAGGTCTTCTTACTGTATAGTCTAAGTGTGACACAAACAGTTTATTATTTGAAATAAGATAATCTAGTTTAATCAGTTTTCCATCTCTAGTGATGACTGGTGTATACTGTATTATCATTGATCAGTGATCACCTTCTTGTTGATTGAGTGATTCCGTTCAGCCAACTTCAATATAAGGACACGTTTTTTTAAAAGTGTGGTGAAAATGACTTAGAGTGCCATGACACTTTTGACAGTGAAAGTGAAATGACTATAACTAGTAACTAGAAAGTGTTGCACGGAAATGCCTTCAATCTTAAATACCCCTGTAAGGAAAATCCGTTAGTTAGTTAAATGTGTCATAATATAGTACCAAGGCAGTGCCAGTTTTCAGCATTTTGGACTATAATGTTTAAAACGCCCATAAAAAACTGAATTTTACGACTTTCCTGTTCAAAATTCAGATTTTGTCTCAGAATTATTCAAAGAATATTTGGATTTTGGTAGGAATACTTGAACTGTGCTCAAAATAAGCAAAAAGTCATTTGTTTGGTAAAATTTCTAGTTTGGTCGAAGGGGTTGTACAAGGCCCATACACTTTTTTTTAAACGTGTCCATAATGCTTAAATTTGTCTTTTAATAAGTTTTAAAAATAAGTTTTATAAATTTCCGTAAATTCACACGACTTGAAACTACCCACTAATAAGCTCACTCATGATTAGTAAAATAGATTAAGTCTATGATCTAGAATAACATTCTGACCTTATGTCACTGTGAATATTAACGGAAAGTTGTATTATTTTCAGTAATATTACTCAACTTACTTCTACAGAATATAATAACACGCCCAATTCCCTGTCCGAAACCCTGTTCGTCTCATATCAACAGATCTACTGTATTCCGCAGAATCTTCCGCAGAATCAGCTAGAACACGGTCGTATTGAGTATTCGTGGATATTATTTATATTTATGAGCATGTATAACTTAAAGATTCATATGAAATTAAAACACATAACGAAGTTAAATCATACATAATTAAAATATGAACTCCATTTAACATACCCCAGTAGGATTCTATGGAATTTATTTAATAATTTCTGACCCACTGCATACCAGTTGCAATCACACACACTCCACACCACCAGGATGAACATGTACAAACCTATACATTATCACTCACCACCACCAGGATGAACATGTACAAACATATACATTATCACTCATCACCACCAGGATGAACATGTACAAACCTATACATTATCACTCATCACCAGGAATCAGGATGAACATGTACAAACCTATACATTATCACTCATCACCACCAGGATGAACATGTACAAACCTATACATTATCAATCATCACCACCAGGATGAACATGTACAAACCTATAGATTATCACTCATCACCATCAGGATGAACATGTACAAACCTATACATTATCAATCATCACCAGGAATCAGGATGAACATGTACAAACATATACATTATCAATCATCACCACCAGGATGAACATGTACAAACCTATACATTATCAATCATCACCACCAGGATGAACATGTACAAACCTATAGATTATCACTCATCACCATCAGGATGAACATGTACAAACCTATACATTATCACTCATCACCAGGAATCAGGATGAACATGTACAAACATATACATTATCACTCATCACCACCAGGATGAACATGTACAAACATATACATTATCACTCATCACCACCAGGATGAACATGTACAAACCTATACATTATCACTCACCACCACCAGGATGAACATGTACAAACCTATACATTATCACTCATCACCACCAGGATGAACATGTACAAACATATACATTATCACTCATCACCACCAGGATGAACATGTACAAACATATACATTATCACTCATCACCACCAGGATGAACATGTACAAACATATACATTATCACTCATCACCACCAGGATGAACATGTACAAACATATACATTATCACTCATCACCACCAGGATGAACATGTACAAACCTATAATACATTATCACTCATTACCACCAGGATGAACATGTACAAACCTATAATACATTATCACTCATTACCACCAGGATGAACATGTACAAACCTATACATTATCACTCACCACCACCAGGATGAACATGTACAAACCTATACATTATCAATCATCACCACCAGGATGAACATGTACAAACCTATACATTATCACTCACCACCACCAGGATGAACATGTACAAACCTATACATTATCAATCATCACCACCAGGATGAACATGTACAAACCTATACATCATCACTCATCACCACCAGGATGAACATGTACAAACCTATACATTATCAATCATCACCACCAGGATGAACATGTACAAACCCATACATTATCAATCATCACCACCAGGATGAACATGTACAAACCTATACATTATCACTCATCACCACCAGGATGAACATGTACAAACCTATACATTATCACTCATCACCAGGAATCAGGATGAACATGTACAAACATATACATTATCACTCATCACCACCAGGATGAACATGTACAAACATATACATTATCACTCATCACCACCAGGATGAACATGTACAAACCTATACATTATCAATCATCACCACCAGGATGAACATGTACAAACCTATACATTATCAATCATCACCACCAGGATGAACATGTACAAACCTATACATTATCACTCATCACCACCAGGATGAACATGTACAAACCTATACATTATCACTCATCACCAGGAATCAGGATGAACATGTACAAACCTATACATCATCACTCATCACCACCAGGATAAACATGTACAAACCTATACATTATCAATCATCACCACCAGGATGAACATGTACAAACCTATACATTATCAATCATCACCACCAGGATGAACATGTACAAACCTATACATTATCACTCATCACCACCAGGATGAACATGTACAAACCTATACATTATCACTCATCACCAGGAATCAGGATGAACATGTACAAACCTATACATTATCACTCATCACCACCAGGATGAACATGTACAAACCTATACATAATCACTCATCACCACCAGGATGAACATGTACAAACCTATACATTATCACTCATCACCACCAGGATGAACATGTACAAACCTATACATTATCACTCATCACCACCAGGATGAACATGTACAAACATATACATTATCACTCATCACCACCAGAATGAACGTGTACAAACCTATACATTATCACTCATCACCACCAGGATGAACTTGTACAAACCTATACATTATCACTCATCACCACCAGGATGAACATGTACAAACCTATACATTATCACTCATCACCAGGAATCAGGATGAACATGTACAAACCTATACATTATCAATCATCACCACCAGGATGAACATGTACAAACCTATACATTATCACTCATCACCACCAGGATGAACATGTACAAACCTATACATTATCACTCATCACCACCAGGATGAACATGTACAAACCTATACATTATCAATCATCACCACCAGGATGAACATGTACAAACCTATACATTATCACTCATCACCACCAGGATGAACATGTACAAACCTATACATTATCACTCATCACCACCAGGATGAACATGTACAAACCTATACATTATCAATCATCACCACCAGGATGAACATGTACAAACCTATACATTATCAATCATCACCAGGAATCAGGATGAACATGTACAAACATATACATTATCAATCATCACCACCAGGATGAACATGTACAAACCTATACATTATCACTCATCACCACCAGGATGAACATGTACAAACCTATACATTATCACCTATACATTATACATTATCACTACTACTCAGCTTGTTAACATTACAGTAACTATACAGTAGCTACTAGATGATGATCTCACTACTTTTGGAATCAGGTTACGCTATTGTACAGCGGTAATCGCTATCTGTGTCTATTATCCACTCTATACACAATAATAACACACTGCGACAGCTACTGTAACCAGATCTTATCATGTCTTGTTGTGAAATGTGGTTAAATGTTGTAAATAAGTTGTGATATAAGTTGTAAATACGTTGTAAATACGTTGAGATATAAGTTATAAATAAGTTGTAAATATTATTATGGTGTGTGTCTGTGTGTCTTGTTAAGAAAATAGGATGCAGTGGGAAAATTTGGCAAATAAAGCAGCCTGCAAGTGCAACAAGAATTATGGTAAAGTGTTTTGAGCTACATTAATCAGGTTACACTTACGTGTTTCCGAATGTAAACAACTATTTACCTGCACGTATTTACGCTAATTAATTTACTGAAATTATCACTGTTACCCTAGATAAACCGCTTGTCCACTATGATTATATTATATGATTAATTAACTGTTCTATAAAATAGGGGCCTAAGTATTTCGTTTTACGTGGCAATGTATTTAGAAACATAGGGTCTGACTCAGTGACTCATAATGGCTGAATGAGAGAGTAACTCCAAAAATAGAGCTGTTTAACAGAGGGAGGTTAGCTCCGCTACGTGTTATCACGTGATGACGGAGCATTTTAACACACTTTTAACTTACCTCCTCCAATTACATTCAATTTCTATCACTTACATTAACTATTCTGATTATAATACTAGATGATTTTAGTGTGAGTGTCGTTCATGATTTTGGGATTTATTGACCCAGAGGCAGTGGTAATTTACAAAGATTAGATTGCTATACATAAAGTGTCAACTTATGAGTGTCCAATATTTACAGAGACTTTGTATTTGATGACTTAATCTCCATTCGGCAGAAAAGTAAAATACGCGCTGTATATTATATTATATTATATTATATTATGTATCTACATAAACTGTATCAAAAATTTGGGATATTCATGTCATGCGTGTGATTGTCTTGTATCCTCATAGATCATAGCTTGACTTTGAAATGGAGATTGATTAATGAGAATACTTCAATTCTCAGAAGAGAAGAGTCGTGTATTTGACTACGCATTTTCAATCAATATATGGCAAAATAAAGGTACAGATGTCTGACAAGGCTAACACGCACAATAAAGCATATTATAGCGGTGCTACCCCAGGACGTTTGGTATTGACAGACAGAATACGTACAGACTATAGATATATTGAACGTGACCGTGGGATTCCACCTAATATTGTAATAATTCGTTATTTGTACGAAGTTTCTCCGTCTTCTATTTTCAACGGAAAGTAAAAAGCAGCTGTTTTTAAACGTACAGCATATTTTTGCTCGTGACCTAAGCGGGTTTAAAACTATGCTGTATTTTGGAATCATAGAAATATTTCAAGAACAGAGAATACAACCAATAACCATGAAATTCCAAAAATTCACGATGCTCCAACACTCTGCAGTTTTTTCCGTGTCATCTCATTAAAACTTGCGAACATCGTGTGGGACCTGCACGAATGATATCATCCATTAATTCGGAATTATAATATTACATGGGTGTACACTGAGCAATTCCATGTATAGAACACGCGCGTAGTTAAATTCCTGGACTTGCTAGAGACTGAGAATGGAACGCGCGAACTCCGGTTTTCGTTGAAAGTTCACGCACGTTCTTTTGGAAAGATCCGTAGAATTTAATATTTAATCATCCTGCATGGATAGCTTAGATAGTCATTGCTTGGATAGTTGCCAAACAATATGCAAGACAATTCGCCGAAGTTGGCATACTCTTTTTTAGAAGTACGCTGTACGAACGGCTTCTAAGCAGCTTATTATTCCTAATATAGAGAAATTAGTATAATACAATATTTATTGGAATTTCTGTAACGATTCTGCGAACATAGATTCTCCCCTACTTCCAAGAATGATCCAAGACTTAACAATATAGCCTAGTATCTGGAAGTTTAATTAATATTCTAGGGATTCAGGGAATGGCTTATACTTAAAAACTTCTCCACCGACGAATGGAGCAACAGCGCGATAATTTACCCATAGTAACTTATAACTATAGGCTGTAGCTGCAAACGTGGTAAATAGTAATATGTACGTCATGCGCCGGCCGTCGTGAGCAAGTTTCTAACACTTGTTTTAACACATAGCTATGTGACATTTCCCCGATACAAACATGTCAGTATATTGTACCTAAAATTAGAGTGCAGTGGACAAAGTTACGTGCATCCAGGCGAAACTAATTAAATTTGTATACAGCATTGAAGCTGCATATGCCTTCTTGAACTATGTAACATTTAAAAGTAACGTAAAGTAATCAACACAATACGTTGTATTTGGAAACGAATGGAAACATACAATACGAGGCTTGAATTCTTCGCAAAATCATTCGAGCCTGTAAAACATTCAAGATAATCACTCTATCAAGCAAAATTCGTATCTTCCAAATCTAGTGTATAAAAATAACACAATATTTCCAAGCTGCATGCCTTCTTGAACTATGTAACATTTAAAAGTAATGAAAAGTATCAAAATTAACACAATATTTCCACAGTGCGGTGGACATCTCGGTTATTACACCGGGGGCTGGATAATACCTAACGGGTTATCCTGGTTGGATACCAGCATCGTGGAGTTCTGTGGTGCGCTGTTAGCTGACTCTAAACACCAGGTTACAGTTGGTTTGTTTAATTAATTTTAATTGTTTAATTAATTTTATTTGTTTAATTAATTTTGTTTCTTTAGTTAACTTCATTTCTTTAATTAATTTTATTTCTTTAATTGATCTGAGTTAGTGAATTTATAAATTCACGAATAAGAGAAGCTTTTGTTTCTGAGTTTTTCTAACCTACTTTTTCCTGTTCCTGAGTTTTTCTGACCTACTTTTTCCTGTTCCTGAGTTTTTCTAACCTACTTTTTCCTGTTCCTGAGTTTTTGTAACTTACTTTTTCCTGTTCCTGAGTTTTTGTAACCTAATTTTTCCTGTTCTTGAGTTTTTCTAACATACTTTTTCTACCCCAGGACGAAGACTCAGGAGACAACTCAATGGTGGTTTAAGATTTTTAGGAGAATGCACATTATGCCGATGAAATGTTAATGATGTGCTAGTGTTATCAGATAGATTAGTAACTGTTATCCAGATGAACTAAACTTTTTTGTGATCAGTAACAAAGATTATCTACATGTCAATTAAAGGGTCTTCACACTATTCGAGGTAATAATAGCCCAATTAGTTTGGTGACTAATTGGAATAATGTTGGGTAAAGTATGTCATCGCATTTTTAGGTACTAGGAGAATTATTTGGTACTTTGGATAAACATTCCACTAAAGATAAGTTTGGACAGTTAGCAGGAATAAACAGACAATAGGATTACACTTTATCACAACTCACAAGTCTTGTTTTATAACACGACTCCGTTCACGGTGAATAACAATTAACAGGAGGTTGGAGGTTCACTGTGGATGAGGCATTTTGTAGAAATATAATTGTTTAAACGCTTTTTGAGCGTGAGATTATTTTTATCTACCTTGGACTACAGTGTGTGAAATTTTGTGGCAAAACTCATTTTTTTGGGAGCCAAAAAGTGCGGGTCTTTAAATCATCCGCCAAATTTGGTCGCACTTAATATTTATAATGTAGACCAAGGTAGTTTTCACTGCCAGACAAATAATATGTAGATTGATTTGTTGTCAAAAGATTGTTTGTTAAGTTTCATGGATTCGAAGGGGTGGAATTTGAATAATGGTCTGTGGTATTGGGAAGTGATGTTATATTTATATTTCAAAAAGTTTTCGTCGTGGAGCTTTTCGATTCACAATTTTGTACAAATTTAATTTAAATATTTTTAATGAAACTTCAGATATTGTAAAACATTTCGCTTAAAAGATGTTTTACAATATTTAATTACCTTGTCGGAGAAGCGATATTTTACCAACTTTCAAAGATTTCAGCCTGAGACATTTAGATTTTAGAGGGGATGGTATAATATTATAAGCCGTTGTATGACTCGCCAATAATATCGATGAGTTTATTGATTTGAGTATGACATGAGTAGCGATTCATCAATAGGGTGGTGTACGGTGCAAGTACACATTATATCTCTTGTTTGGTACACACCTACTGTCTCATCTATACTCAGGTCAATTTATTATAATCATTTGTTTATAAGTTAGTTTTAAACTGATCGTGTAGTTTGCATTTTGATTCAAACGCGTTGTGTAGATCACATATAGATTCTGCATTTGTTGGATAATAATATTATGTCAATAATTAGTTAAAATTTTGACACAAACTGTAAAGATTTAATTGTTTTTAGAGAAATATGTTTATTTTGATAGTTTTAAATGTATCATATGCTGAGTAACAGTAATTATATTGAGAAATGTTAAATTTGATTTGGTTCTTATGTGAATTGTAATTATATTATAAAATGTTACCAACAATTTTAGGTACCCTGTCAGTAATGTTACTGCTGTATGATTGTTTGGCAGAAAAAAACGTAACTGTACATAATGTGATTTTAAAGTCATGATCAATTACAGATTGTGCGATAAATTAAATAGTAGCGGATTTTGTATGTATCAGTATGGTTATTTGGGTTCTTTTGCGATAGTCTAAACGCGATAGTTAGCGCTAACTAGCCCTAACTATCGCGTTTAGACTAAAAGAACTGTCATTTTGTTTCTTACTGGCTACTTATACCGGTTACTTCGATTGAACCCAATAACTGTAACCATGGTAACGATAGCTGTAACCTTGGTAACGATCTGACCATGAAATCCGCTACTGTAGATGATGAATATGTTTTAGTATAAAACATGTTATTTTTTTAATTCACGCCATGTAAATCCGAAGAATAATATAAAAGTTTACTGGGATTAGCGTTTCAACATTCTATTTCTAATTCTTGTTGATTTTCATGTTAGTTTCAATGATAACGCGTGTTATACTAAGTATTATAATTTTATATGTTTTGAGTAAAAAGCTAAGCGGATGTTAAGGGATATTTGTACTCACACTGTTAATATTATACAATATCTAATTTAGGGAGTTGCTAAACCTCAGTTAGGTAGGTTAGCACTACAGTGGGGGAGGCTACCATTTGTATTGTGATGAAACTGATATTAATCATGGATTAAATTAGATTTACTGATCAATAGCATCGGAGTTTTTATTGTTTCAAGTTTAAATCTGCCCAAACAAACTGATAAGTGTCTCTGTTATATTCCAGACTATAAGAGGATGATTGATGACATAAATTCCAATTAAAATGGATGTTTTGTGTATTTGCTGCTCACTGGCTCACATTCAGGTATTTCACAGAGCAGGGGCTGGTAGAGAGGGTGTGGTTCAGTTACTAATAGTTACTAAAAGTTACCAAAAGTGGTGGAGTATCAGTATGATAGTAAGAAGTGAGATGAGAAGAACCCTATCAGGAATACTCTTCAATAGTTCAAATAACTTCGTTCAATTGAAATTCGGTTGGTCAGTGATATGAGACCCAAAATAACTGTGGACCCAAATAACTGTGGACCCTTCGTATGATGAAGCTTGCCAATCATCGGAATTGATTTTGAAGGGGTTTGAAAGAAAGATGTAGCAAAAGTTACCTGAAATGTGAAAATGAAAAGGATCACCTGGATTACGTTTGATGGAAATCTGAAATTTAACAAGATATCAAGTAGTCGAGAAACTGAAAGCTGTTATTTCTAGCATATTTTGAAATCAAATTATCTCTGAAGTACTCCAGTTAGGATTCATAAGCGAAAATCATTGTTCAAAGATAGATATTAGAGGCATCTGTATTCTGTAACTCTGTCTGAAGGGTGTACTGACAACATTAGTATACGAGCATAATTGATAATTGTTGATGAGAAGTTCAACAATTTGCGCTGATTGCAAAGGATTATAATGCCTAAACTGTTATAATGTGGTAACTGCAGTAAAGCACCACAACCAGCTCATCAAACATCATAGTTGCAGAATCAGAAATTGGCACTGTCCATTCGTTGAAAAATGGTCACTGTAATCAGCAATTCTGCGAATGTAATATCACAGTACCAGTGAATCCGCACTAACCTACTACTACCTGCTAAGTGCTTCCCGGCCTCGCTTAATAGGTAAGATCAATGATCATTCTGATTCAACCGCTAACTCATTTCGTTTGTTAATATTAATATGATTAAATTGTTACATTCTTCAATCTCACGACTCACACTTTTTGGATCTGGGTGAGTATTATAACGCTAAGGTTGGTCGGTATGTTTGATGTTCAAAACTAAACAAAAAGTATTCAGTATTTGGTATTGGCATATAAGCGCTCTCTAGCTTTTAAAAGTTCAAAAAACATATTCACCGGAGATGATATTTCACCTCCGGCGATAATCTGGGAGTCAAATCGATGAAAGTATTTTAAAGTTTTGAGTCCGAGGGTTTTTTATTTTTATTTTCTTACTGGGCGGCGTCCAGCCTGTTATTCCGTCTAATCTCTAATATATTTATGAACATGATATCCTGAGGTCCCCAGGTAACAAATTTGCACGTGGCCTGGGTGGTCATACTGAGAAAAGACAGGCTATGTGTATACTTGGAAAACCTTCTAATTATAAGCTAGATCCCTTGTTTGGACATAATTTACAATACAAGTAAAGTCACTGAAATTAAGATTGCTCTGTTGCTTCGTTTTTCAAAAGAATTGGTCTACAGCTGCAGTGGCAGTATTATAGTACTGAGATGTGTAGAACAGAGGTTAGACCACTTTTATTTCTACTTGTTTTGTGCTGTACTATAAGTATATATACATGTTTACTGTTACTGTTCATGATAGTGTGCCTAGTCTTTACCGCAGCCGTTGCGATGCACGATAGGATACGCAACCCCGGCCACAATCAGTTATCTTTGAACACATAATTTCTCTAAGACTTAATCTAGACGCTCGTATCCGCGATGGTAATGGGTCGGGGGTGGGGGCTTCATTAAAACAATCCTCAGCACGTGAGATTTGCTTATTTGAGCTTAGAGCCATATATTACAGCAGACACCAGACAGGAATACAACAAGATTAAACTCAAGATTACCATCGGATTCGAAGATCAGTACCCCGAATCTACGGATACCCTATTCTACTTTCTCTTTGTTTTCTCAATTATACTGGGACTCATATCTCTTGGTACTGTGATAGAGGCTCAGACTTCAAACTTCAGTACTTTCCTGAACTTCATCAGCAGCACGTGCGAATGCTTGTGTGGGAAATGTGTCACAGTGGAGAACGATGCTGTCGTAAGTTGTTTATTATTTTAATTTTATACATTTATGATAATTTAAATAATTGAGTCCGCTGCAGTTCATCATAACATCTATACTTCTGTACAATGATCTGCAAACTGTATGTTATACCGGATCATGTCAAGTATAATTTCTGGTAGGTGAAATTAGTATTCATCCGAATGATTTATTCTATCATGGACCGTGGACGTCATAAATTGATTATGATGCTGATTTCTTACGTTTTTACTATTAAAGTGTACTTCTAAAGGTCGAAAAACCTCAAAACAGTAGACTGAAAATTCAAACGAGTCAACTAATTGTGCACAAAATATCAATGAATTGTTAAATAATTTCAATATTTAAGAATTAATTAATAAAGAAACGTATCACGATTTCCAGTCTATCTCTGTCCTATCTGTCCTATCTGAATAAATAATTATAAACGTAACATTATTTACAATACAAGTCTATCTTTGTCTTACATATTCACCGCTCTCTCTGGTTTGGCTTCCAGCCAGCTCGTTATCTGTATCTCCTTATCAGTCATGAGTGTGTACATATCTTGTACGAAGTGTTTGCAGTTATTATAGAAAGGGTGGTAACTGGAGTGCTTCTCTGCTGTTTGTCTCCCGTTCGGGCAAATAAACATACTTCGGCACTATTCCTGTAGGATGAGAATTTATAGTACGTGTAATATTCTTAAATATTCTTTTTTTGTGAACACTTTTAGAATTGTCGAATCGTTTTAGCTCATTGGATGGCTGTAAAATGTTGTGAAATGTTAAATAGAGTTACGTAGTACGTACCCAAAACAGAAGAGTCTCTGAGCAGCAGCTTCGGGTCAGTTTGCCAGGCTCCCTCTCCTAGTCTCTTTCTTCCGTTCATCTTCTTAACTACGTCGTCTTTATTAGTACTGTAGCTCTGTAGGTAAAATAAGTTACTTTTAACATAAATGCATCTTGTTGTCACTATACTAAATGCAAATAAAAGTTTCAAAATCTTTCAATAAAATTTCAATAGAAAATGCGCCACAGAATATTAAAATGTACCCCTATTATAGATCGATTTTTAAACCAAGAAAATAGATTTTAAAAGTTTTTAAAAACTTTTTGAAACCATATTATTATAATGATACTACCGTGTGTCTATAAGTTTGAAAAAAACTTAACAAGTTAAACTAGACTAAATGAAGTATATCAATTTGAGTAAGGCCGTAATAAGGTAATTGTTTATTTTAAGTTGTCTCTGATAGTGGTGCATATATAAATATATAATATGCAGGTTTTTTAGCTGCAAGGTCAGTCCTAGTCCTTTAATTTGTCTCCAGACAGTTGATGCTTCTTTCGGCGGAGAGTTTTCATCTAGTCCGTTGTCTGAAATAGGATCAGCTGATAATTTTAATAGTCAATCAAATATCAATAGAATCAAAGTTCAATTAAATTTGAAATTCTTATTTCACAAGTCTACTTCAAAACTCCTTCAAGGAGAGCGACATCTCACAACCGATATTTAATTTCAAGAGCTTAAGAAAGTTATGACTTAATGTTAAAAATTGACTTTTGATACGGCCCCTTTATTCTTTATTAACGCCAACAGTGCTGTATAGTTTTTGTTATTTAGGCACGTACCGTGGTATTTGTTTGAGCTGAAAGCTTCCTACTTGAGTCCGCACTATTTAGCTAAGATCTAACTGATTAGAATTAATTTGGATCGATATCACGAAGTACTAATATTACGATAACGATCCAAATAAGTGTAACTCTGACTAGACTTTCAGAGAACTAGAAATAATTAGGATGAATACTCTTTGAGGTAATGACCGTAGTTATATTGAAACTGAGTTCTATCATATTCATATTTGAGAATGGGAACGGGTCTCAAATGCAAACACAAATACAATTAATTGTTTAGTTTCTGAAGTGGTACCTGTTCAAGTTCAAAGTGTGTGGTTTCCTCCGTGTCACCTTCGTTCATTCTGGTTTGCAATGTACCAACTGTCCCTGCAGAGAGTAATGTGTTATTCGAAATTTAAATTAAAGTAATGTGTTATTCAATTAAGCTGAGTTTCACACAATCGCTGAATTATAATAATACCTCATGAGACCATTAAATATTTATCATTATTGAGAGTTTATCTATTGAGACTTTCTAATGCCCACGTAATTGAATGAAAGTTACCCTATCGATACTGAGAATAACCAATTAATGCTTACCGCCTGGACATCTTTCTTTCCGTGGTCATAATTCCTTCAAGTTTCGTCTCTCTTCTGTTTTTCTGAAATTTTAGAAAGCTTAATAATTGCCTTACCAACCCTTTTATCTTTTTATGCTTAAGCACAATATACATTTTCACAACGGATTTGTTTATTTATCTAGAACCATGATTCCTGGATCAATATTTTTGTATTTAAGTAACAGAACATTAATTGAAAATTGTACTCACTGATCACCGCCATACTCTGCTTAATAATCAAACTTTTGTTTGTAGGTTCGTATGATATCTTGGGTAAGGAGAAAAGATAGGAGTTAGGAAATAGGTAGGGAAAATTTGGGAGGAGAATAGGTAGGGGTAAGGAAAATAGTTAAAGTATTTATAACCTAAACCTTTTCCAAAATTATTGAGTTGTTGCCAGATTTCGCGCCATATTATTATGTTAATAAAGTTTTGTTGAGATCGCAATCTCAAAATTTTTATTTTTCTCTGCGGTTTAGTTACCAAAGTAACTCGCGCTAATACATTCGAGAAATTCGCAGTATCTCTTCCTCGTGCATGACATAAATATTAATTTAAGAGTTTAAATAATATTCTTATTAAGTGAGTATTAAGGTGTTAACATACTTATTATGATATCACAAAGTGGTGCAAGACCAACTATTTCTCCATAAAGACACC